GGTTGCGGGTTCAAATCTCACGTGGAGCTGATTACCAAAAAAGTGTGCAAATACAGGGTGGAATTTTGTAATGCCACCTGCAGGGAAAGTACGAAAAAAGTAGGTACGTTTCACCGAACGAAAATTCACCACCATACCATAAAATTTTCTGTAACCTAACGATCGATACAATAAAAATACAAGATGTAATTTTTAACAGATTTTATTTGGTTCGATTCCCGGGTGTGGCAAGCAAATTTTTGAAAATCTTTGAATGCAGTAGTGTCCGACCGAATGTTCGGTTTCGGTTTCGTTTTCGGTTGAGTTTCGGTAAAAACACGAGTTTCGGTTTAGTTTCGTTTTCGGTGGCAAACTTGCCGAAACTACGACCGAAACCGAATGTGCATTCGGGAGTTTCCGCGCTGTTATCGGTCATGTTCGGCGCGTTGAATGAGGAATGAATCCGATCCCGATCAGTGTGCCTACCATGAGTTTACGTTAGGTGTGCTCGCTAGCGACTGCGTAAAAAAATGACATTTAAATGTATGACATATTGTGCAGCGCCCCTAGCGGCTACTTTCAAGAAATAAAATCTTCATAGAATTTTTTGACGTATTCGCTAGCGAGCTCACCTATCGTAAACTCATGGTAGGCACACTGAGCCAATGTCGTGATTCGCTCGCTTGTTTGTTTGCTGTTAGTTTTGTTTTGTTGTGGTGGCGAATTTTCGAGTGATTTATTTTGAATTTGGTAAGTTTTATCTCGTTTTATGTCGTTACAACAAGAGCGGGTAGTAAACATAAAAAAAAAATATTCAATATGACTGATAAAAGTATAAGTTTAATCTAACCTATACATTTTTTTTGGTTTGCAAATGCTATACGTAAACAAACATTAGTTAGGTACTTAGTTAGTTATGACTATAGTGCATTTCATGGTGATAATATTATGGATTCAGAGTTTCAAAGTTCTTTTTAGTATTTATCACAATGGCAAGTACAGTAGATACTAAATTACGTACTACCAATTTTGTATTGAGAAATTATTAAAGTAAAAGACCCGACCATGGGACGGGTTATGTAGATGTCCTGAATGTTGCGAGTAATTAAAAAAAATCTAGACTTTTCTTTTTTAATAGGTACATAACTTGATACCTTTTAGAGTAAAAAGGCGCTTTCGTTCGTTTCAGCCGAAAGACGTCCACTGCTGGACAAAGACCTCTCTCAAGGATTTCCACGAAGACCGATCCTGCGCCGCTCGCATCCAGGCACCTCCCGTGACCTTCACCAGATCGTCGGTCCACCTAGTGGAAGAACTTTCCTGCCCCAGCGGCCATCAGCTCTACGAGCTATGTGCCCCGCCCACTGTCACTTTATTTTAGCGATTCGAAAAGGCGCTTTATAAGTTCAATTACGTTTTCTTTATTTTTCCCTCAAAATATGAGCCTTGTAAGGAAGTTTCGGTTTCGGTTTCGGTTTCGGCCGAAACAGACACCGTTGCCGAAATTCGTTTTCGGTTTCGGTTTCGGTCGTAAAACTAGTTTCGGTCGGACACTAGAATGCAGTTCTATTTCTTTCAAAAAATAAAGGAATGATTTCTTTGAGTAATTTTTTTTCTATCTACATAATAAGAGTACTTTCCCTCCAGCCAGGTGGCATTACAAAATTCCACCCTGTATATTCAATAAGTTCTTGCTGAACATAACAATAAGAATAGGTACCTACTTAATTTCGATTTGCAAGCTTGTCGGCTACGGCAAGAAACAATGCATAGTTATGTAATCCTAGGTGCGCCTGATCATTCAGATAAATTGAGCCTGTCTATTTAGATACCAATCTTGTGGCGTCATCAGTAGATGTTGACGGATTTTGAGCAACAAAAAATTATGATGATGATGACGATGACTTGTCAATTGTTTTTGTAATTTTTAAACATACGCGTATTCTTGCACAAATAAGTACCTACTTTGGAGATTCTGCAATATTACCTGCATCATATTGTCGATTTTACTAGGATATTATGTGGAATCGATCGAACCTACGATGGTTAGCTTGATCTGTCAGAATTTTCATGTGATTTTCATTAGTTATACTCGTATTTAGTGATTATTATTTACTTCTGAAATTATTAATTTTTATTCATAGTAAATATTTTATTTATTTTAACGGTGTCGTATAATGTGTTATAGACACTAAAGAAGGATATAAAACTGCTCATTTATAAAATATAACAAAAGATTAGCATGAACGTTTACACCCACTCTAAACCCATAATTAAACAGTCCGTCATCGTTTAGTTCATCATAATGATGGCATGGGATTCCTATCTTAGAATCGAATGTAGAAAAAAAATTAAAGAATAAAAGTTTACCTACATCAAAACTTGCAGAAGACGGACAGCAAATCACTTAAACTGAAAATAGGAAAGAGGTAACTACGATTTTGCAATAAAAATGTGTTGCAATCTGACGTCCATTGCTGTTCAGTATTACTGGTATTACGTACAAAAATATTTACTCGAAAATAGTTTAGTCCACCAAGTAAAAGTTACCAACGAATTCATACAAGGAACTCATTCAATACACAGACTATTCACAGTACATACGAGTTTTAATGAAAGCGTCCTTTATTGCTTCAAAAAAGGCATAGTTAGTTAGTGCTTACCCAAGAATGGACAATAATGGGGCCAGTAGCCAGTAGGCGGCGTTTCCACCAAAAGCGAGGCGATAAGCAGTGCGCGAGAAAAACACACTTAAAGAAAAAAAACATCTCTTTATTTTCCTAAAGTCGTTACTAGTCCAGTCATTTTGTAGTTTTACCTGGAAAGTTTCCCGGGATTGGAAAGATTTCGATGTGCTCTTTACGAATTTCAACTTTGCGACCTCGTATGGCTGCCGCTCGCGCCGCCATATTGGAAAAATGCTGCCTAGTAGCAGATTTTTTTATATATTTCCTTTTGGATTAATTTTATGATAAAACATGCTTAGAGATCCTATTTTTCTTTTTTTAGACCTTAGTTTTTTTAGTCCGGGGGACTGCATCACACAGTTCACACACACGTCTTTCTTTACTGCTTCAAGACGCATCCTTGCTCCGCTTCGTTGCATAACTTTGGTGGAAAAAGATTCCCCGTCTGTGGAACGGATTCCATAGCAAATTTACTCGTTAAAAATTGTAAAAAAGCCCATAAAACAATTTCATTCAAATGTTTTTTAACTACTATACTATACCTGCTTAAAACATGAGTAAAGTTAACCACTGGATAAGTATTGGGTACACTAAGGACGTTATTTTATTGTATTTTGGAAGTTTGATGACTTGTTCTATCTAAATTGAAATTGGTCAAATTAATAATTAAATTATGAGTCACGGTTAATCCCATTATGCCATACAAATTATAACTACAATGCTAGTTGAGGATGAATTGACGAACGACGAAATGTTATGCTATTAATTTGTTCCAATTGTTCCCCAACCCTGGCCAGACCTCCATTTACCTTTGCGTTAATGAGAGAGAGAGACACAAATCACAGTACAACACAATACATACATACAATTACCTACGTAGAGTCAAGAAATGTAGAAAGAAAGCATTATACCTACTGTACCTACTCTATAATTCTACATATGAAGAGATATCTTCTAACCAACCATAATTTAAAGTACCTATGTGACAATCATAATATTGATAATGACGGGATACGCCCCCCGCGGTTTTACAACACGTGCCATTGCTGAGCCTGGTCTGATGCAGAATGTGCACTTCGCAAAAAGCTTACTTTTATATCCAAATGTAAGGGCTGAAGAGTTTGTTTCAGTAAAATTAAAAAGAAAAGAAAGAAAAAGTGCATATACTCTTCAAACCCGCCATACACTAACGTAACCTTGTGATTGTGAAGGCTCATTTTTGCTCGGCTTCGTTTGATACTGACGCTATGCTCCACACAGGTGCTATTTAACTTGTGAAGGTTATCGACAAAAAAACTGTCTTAAATAGGCAGGTATTTAACTACATGTGTAAGTTTCTACTCATGTGACTTCTATTTGTTTAGATAGAGTCTTCATAGCCTGATGAATAGTGAGTGATGCAGCGTCAAGTCACGGTCCGTCATCTCTAGTCCCGTCTCGAAACTATCCTAAACTGTAACCAGAGTAAAATTTTCGTCTGAAAAGGGTGATACTTACCTTGCCTTAAAAGTAGTCTTGATTTTTTTGGCTTGTAGGTATATGATGATGGCTATAGTTATGGCCAAGTTTACGACCTCGAGCGCCGACCGCAACCTTGACAAAAATAAAAAATAAACACAAAATTTCATCAATTTTCCAGATTTTGGCCACTTTAACCCTAGAAGACTAGTTTTTATAGTGCTCACATAGAGTATTTACTCGTATAAAGAAGACTAAATATGCTAGAATATGTGACTTTAATTGCCTATGTAGGAGTTTCCCTAAAATTTCCCTAAAAGCCTAAATGTGTCTGAACACCAAAAAAATTGTGAGTTGTNATAACATTTATTTTACCATAACTTAAAAAAAACCTTAGAAAATAAGATATTTTGTTTTATTTTTGATTACTCTGACTCCCAACTTTGATTACCCCGACCATGAAAATTTTGATGTCGCATAACTTTTTATTCCTGCTTGCTACAGATGGGCCAATATAAAAAATATGCTCGTAATAATGTCTATTTTGAAATGTTTTACCTAAACTTACTCTAAATTCAAAAATAAAAAAGGTCGGGGTAATCAACAAAATAATCCAGATCCGGAGAATGACCGAGTAGCGCCCACACCACACGTCCCTGCTCACTTGCTTACCGGCACCCGGCACCGGCTAAACGAGTCCGAACCGGGCGGTTTAGTCGAGTTCACAAAACCACTAAGCTTGCAAACTCTACTCGACCAAATGTTTTTTGGTCAGCAGCGAGTAGTTAGTTACTGAAGGCGAGTTACTCTACTAAATTACTCGACTAGTGCGAACAAGGCTCGAGCTCCTTTTATACTAAACCACGATGAGGTATTTCAAGCGCGTCCTCTTTTGAGTGTGCCAGTCTACAAATGCACGCGACGCACGCGCACGTACGTTGCGATACCCCGTATAACGCTTTAGTGTCGTGCTAACATAAAGATTACATAGTGATAGCAATGTTTGCTTACGATAAAAATTTAATACCTAAACTGCAACTGACTGAAGTGAATATTTAATGTACCTACCTACTTTACATGTTTTACTGTGGCCAAAATGTGGAAAATATTATTTACATCTGCTCTAGCTGCGCTGGTAGTGAGTGTGAAAGCCGGTGCAGCGCCTGATTTATGTTGTCAAGATGGATTAGTTCTGCTGAGAAGGCAAAATGTTTGTTGGAATCCTAAAGTAAATAAAACTTCACCAGTAACAGCCTTATCCTGTAAGCAGAAACTGAAACTAAGTCGTTTCTCTATCAATAGTGATGGGGATCTAGTGTTAATGGGAAGTAGCAGGAATGTAACTTTGGATCATAGGGGGTGAGTGTCACCTGAATTTTTTGCCAATTTACGAAGTAGGTTACGGCGGGGAGGGACGTATCAAATCAAGCCAATTACAGACGCACTTTTGCTGTATGGGTTGGTTCAATGTTATGTTTGGGCGATAACACCTTTTCTTTGGGTTCATAAACTTAATAATAATCGTATTTAATAACCGGCTTTTTCTTTCATGCTGTCTGTTGGTAATCTACATTCATATCGACTTAAAATTAAAGTACTTAACTTTCGAATTCTTTAAATATATTTTTTTTAAATACCGGTAGGGACAGGAACCCTCTTAGCGGGCCTGTCGAGCAACCCGTAACCCACCATTGAGCGGGCCGGATGCCGTCGAGGCATTTTCCTAATCCACGATGGATCCTTAAAAACCTTCACAGGAGGGAGCTGATGGGGCATTTGCCCAGGCTCGGAGGGTCGCTCTCGGTACTTTTCTGATCGGCCTTAATGAGCAGGCTTTGGCGGTGAAAGTCCCACCGTAGCCAGTGGGTATGCTCAAAAGATTTCCCGTCGTAAAAAAGGTCCCGTGATGTTATCGTTTTTGGTTGATTGTTCTCATTTTACATACATATTATTTTAAAATTGCAAGTGCGAATTTATTTAAAACTAGCGGCCGCCCGCGACTTCGTACGCGTGGATCCCGTTTTACCCCCTTCATCTATCTTACGCGGTTTAGATTTTTTCATACAAATATTTTTTCCCGCTAACTCCCGTTTCCGTGGGAATTTTGCAATATCCTGTTGTAACTAAGCTTTAAGTTTACTAAGGTACCTGCATGCCAAATTTCAAGCGTCTAACTTAAGCGGTTTAGATTTTTCATACAAAAGGATTTTCCCGCTAATTCCCGATCCCGTGGGAATTTCGGGAATTCCTTGTTGTAACTAAACTTTAAGTTTACTAAGGTACCTACATGCCAAATTTCAAGCGTCTAACTTAAGCGGTTTAGATTTTTCGTACAAAAGGATTTTCCCGCTAATTCCTGTTCCCGTGGGAATTCCTAAGTATACTATAACCTGCCCAGGAGTATGAAAAATAATTGTACCAAGTTTCGTTAAAATCCGTTAATTCCGTTAAAGTTTTTGTTTCTATAAGGAACATACAGACAGACAGACAGACAGACAGACAGACAGACAGACAGACAGACAAAAATTTTACTGATTGCATTTTTGGCATCAGTATCGATCACTAATCACCCCCTGATAGTTATTTTGAAAATATTATATTTCATGTACAGAATTGACCTCTCTACAGATTTATTATAAGTATAGATTAGTAAAAAGGTCGATGACAGATTTTGTTGGGTCAATCAGAAAAATCTAAATTGTTTGTTTGATTTACAGTTTGAATTTACATGTATAAATGATTATTTTGTTTATCAGGTATTGCATCGCCAACCAAACGAGGATAACAGACCCAGAGCTGACGAATGTGAGCCTCGCGGCGCTGATCTGCCAGGATAATGATGACAAGATCATCGACGAGAAAGTCGCAGGATACTGCATGATAGTATCCGTTATATTCTTGTTTTTCACGGCACTGATATATTGTGTTCTTCCAGAAATGAGGTAAGTAATTTGCAAATGTAACAAGGTAACAAGTTAGTAAAATTGAACTCACTCACACAGGACCTCACGACCTATCGCTTGACGGACGACACTTCATTAAAACTAAGAATTTATTTATTTCAATATTTATGCAAGATGTCCCCCTTCATTCGTTCGTTTCAGACAAATGACGTCCTCTGCTGGCCAAAGGCCTCCCCTCCAAGAATTTCCACAAAGACGAAAATGTACTAACCTGCAAATCATGTTATGTTATGTTTAAAGAACAAAATAAATTCCAAAGTCTCCTGTATTCCACCTTGAATTTTTCATTCAGTATAAAGATATAGTTAAACTCTATAAAAATTCAACTGTCTGCCCAGTATGGTTTTGATACCTACTTAGATGGGTAACAGCCCGCTGACTAACATAAATGTTGTCCCGGAGTGGTGACGCGAACGTGACAGGGCAAATACCTATGATATTTGGGACGTGTAGGTAGAGTGCTCTGAAAGTCTCTACTTACTAGTAAAAGGCCCTATAATGTTTCCAGAGTCCAGACATTTAGTCCCGTTCGTTAGCACCTTAGGGTACGGAACCTTAAAAATATTGCCACAAAGGAATAATTTAGTTGCAGCATGACGACTTATTCCCAAAGGTCCCCGACTCTATTGTTCTTCTTTTCCCACTTGGTCCATGAATTTTAAAATTCCCATAGAAAATGTTTTTATTTTATTTGATGTCGTGGATCCGCTTGGAATCTATTAAAAAAACACATACACTTGAATTGAGAGCCTCCTCCTTTTTTTGAAGTCGGTTAACAATAATGATAATAATATGTAGAGCTGTGGATCTTTGGGAATAAGCCCTCTAAAATATAATAATTTGACATTGTTTAACTTTACAGGGATCTGCAAGGGAAAAGTTTGATCGCTTTTTGCATTTCCTTGGGATTGGGGATGATGGTCCTAGTCATCATGAAGCTTATGCCGCCGTACCGCGACATGAACCTTTGTGCTGCAAGAGGTATGTAAAACCTCTGGAAATATTTTTTAAAATTTTTAATTTAATAAAAAATGTTACATCTTGCAATCAATGAGTGTAGACACTTATAAATACCGCAAGCACCAACAGCTTCGGTTTGAATAAATTCGTGATATTTTCTGTAAACAAAAATCACCTTGAATCTATTTCCGTGCATCGTGTGTGCTGATTCTGTTCAATCAATAGTTCGGTAGAAAGAGAAGTTGTTACAATGCCACGAGAAATAAACTATAATTTTGTTGCATTATATTTACAGAATTTAAAAAATTGAAGTTAACTAAAGTATTTTTTATTATTTTCAGGTTTTCTGGCTTATTTTTTCATTCTATCAAGCTTCTTTTGGACAAATGCTATATCAATACAAATTCTATTGTGCATACGGTAAGTTATCAGCAATGCAATTCTTCGGTAATTAAATTAAAATTATATTTCTTTGGGCTCCCAAAAAGATAATAAGAAACCGGTATTTTTCTTTTTTTTTCTCTTATATACCTAATCTAATAATTATGTAAAAATTCTAAACAACAATGCAATCGTGTAGGACAAGTAGAGTTACAATTAATCATCTATTCAGCTAGCATATTAATTCTAATTATGGAGCTTAAAAAATGACCTTCCTCGCATCGATTAGCAAAAACTGAGTTCATCACTCTACTAATAGTTTTTGAGAATGTTACGAAATCTGCAATAGTTCTGGGAGTAGAGATATTATTATACTCATAAGTCTCATACTCTATACTAAGTTACGTCTACGTAACGATGTATTGAAAACCGTATGATTTTTAGACGGCCGTCGACTTTGAACTATGAGTGGAGAGACTTCATGCTGTACGCATGCTACGGCTGGGGCGTGCCGGCGGTGCTTACGCTCGCCTTGGCGCTGGTGAACTTCCTGCCGGTGCCAGGCCTGCCGGACCACAAGAAGCCGGGCATCGGGCTCAACCACTGCTGGTTTTATGGTAAGATTCGAACGAGTACCTACCTACTAAAATTACCATTTATCGCCCGGGACTTCGCCCGCGTTGAATTTTGCCTGTCACAGAAAAACTTTATCGCGCGTGTCCCAGTTTCAAAAACCGGGATAAAAACTATCCTATGTCCTTTCCCGGGACTCAAACTATCTGTATGCCAAATTTCATCAAAATCGGTTCAGTGGTTTGGGCGTGAAAGCAAGACAGACAGACAGACAGAGTTACTTTTGCATTTACATATAATATTAGTATAGAATAGATGGCAGCCTCAGGTTGCAGTACGGCTCTACAAAACATTCGCCGGAAATACTTATCTCGAAGACTCGTTTCATCCATCATGCACCTCATATTACATCATGTATCTACCTTATTCTATTAAAATTTAATTAGGCACAATCACGATAATTATTATTTTATTAATTTATTTAGTTAGTAGGTACTCGTAAAACAAATATAGTTATAAATATAAGGATAATTATTTTTGCGGTAATTATAATTCCATTTATTTTAGTTACAGCAACGGGCCTTTTAATGTTTACCTATCCTAAAAATCCTACTAATTATCCCAACTAATATTATAAATGCGAAAGTAACTCTGTCTGTCTGTCTGTCTGTCTGTCTGTTACGCTTTCCCGCTTAAACCTCGCAACCGATTTTGATGAAATTTGGCATAGAGATAGTTTGAGTCCCGGGAAAGAACATAGAATAGTTTTTATCCCGGTTTTTGAAACAGGGACGCGCGCGATAAAGTTTTTCTGTGACAGACAAAATTCCACGCGGGCGAAGCCGCGGGCGGAAAGCTAGTAATATTATAAATGCGAAAGTTTGGATGTCTGGATGTTTGTTACTCTTTCACACAAAAACTACTGAACGGATTTTGATGAAATTTGGCATAGAGATAGTTTGAGTCCCGGAAAAGGACATAGGATAGTTTTTATCCCGGTTTTTATAACAGGGACGCGCGCGATAAAGTTTTTCTGTGACAGACAAAATTCCACGCAGGCGAAGCTGCGGGCAGAAAGCTAGTAGCACAGATNTATGACAATTAATAAAAATAACAATTTGTTGCAAAACCAAACCTAATTTTAGTATTTTTATAAGTGACGAAATAAAACAGCAGCGATGAGCGCCATCTATTACATCATTTGTAACTAAATGCTACTTCGACAGCGCCGCAAAAACGATTGTTTAAGACTTCAGTTTTTACTAAAGATAAAATTTTATTATATGAAGAAATATTGTTTATTTGAATCATTCACTGTGTTTAAATGAACAAATTAATGTGTAAAACATTTTTTCATTATAGTTTACTGAGCATTAGTGACTTTTTACAAACGTCTTCAGAAATTCGATACTTATGTCGCCATCTAGTGAGATTGATTTGGAATGATTCAAGATTTATAGGCATCGGGTTCCCGTGCTAGTAGGCTATAAATTAATGCCGATCTGTGACACTAAATTTGATGCTGGTGAAGCCACGGGCAAAAGCTAGTTTATAATATTTATTTAACTGTTTCAGGTACGGAACATCAATGGTACTACATGTATAGTATCATGTCGATTCTTATATTTGCGAATATTTGTATATTCATATACATATCGATCTGTTTGTGGAAGAACACATTTGCCACCTCTCACTTGAAGGCATTGAGATACAAGTAAGTCACACTTATTGGTCGTAAAACTTTTAGATACGACGTAGTCCAGTTAGAGCGCCTGCCCAAATTGCACCTGTACGAATGGCACCTAGCCTAGTCCACAAAGAGTAGGTACCCAGGTGCTGTTCGTGGACAAAAATCATACTAATATTATAAATGCGAAAGTTTGGATGTCTCGATGTTTGTTACTCTTTCACGCAAAAACTACTGAACGGATTTTGATGAAACTTTACAGTGTTATTGTTTATAACCCAGAATAACATTTAAGCTATAATTTATAACGATCTGTGATAAACGAAATTTCATGCGGGTGAAGCCGCGGGCAAAAGCTAGTGTATAAATAAATGTGAATTCTTGAATCACAATATTCTGTTTTTTTAGGTTCTTAATGACGACGAGACTCTTTATACTGATGGGCATCACCTGGATATTCGAGATGATCAGCTCTTTGGTGGAAATTAACATTGGCTGGTATGTATTTCGTCTCGTTTTGTTTTTGTCCGCAAAATAAATTCATTGTCCTTAATTTAATTTAATTAATTTAATTTAAAAGCAATTTGTTTAATGAGCCAAACATAACATACATAACGTCACAACACCAAACATAAGAGGAAAAGTTTATTTACACGATCACAATGTTTACCATAGATATGTACCTAGGGCTAACTACTGTTGTGGTTGTGGTCTCTTTCAGTCGTTGACGTTGGCTTATGACGTAAGTAGTTATGAAAGTTTGACCACAAAATAGAGAAGCGGTCGCGTTGACCGTTGTACTGCAGCCTAAATGCGTCACAAAAATGATAGCTAACTTTTTACCCGACTACGGCAAAGCAAAAGGAGGGTTATTACTTATTTTAAATGAAACCATGCTTAAAAATTTTTTTTTTTTTTAAGCAAAAAAAATATTTTATTAAATAAAAAATAATATTTCCTTTTCTTTCAAAAATTATCTCTCCGGCGGGGAATCGAACCCCGGTCTCCCGCGTGACAGGCGGGGATACTAACCACTATACTACCGAAGACTTACGTGTTACGGCGAAATTAAAAGTCTGTTGCTTTAGGTAACAATAGCTACGAGCGTGGTAGTCGTTATCTTCAATAATGTTATACTGTATATTGTGTCTTGTCGAGACCATAGTCGAGAGACCTATGGTTGAGACTAGAGATGAAACGGATATCCGGTAACTATCCGGTAGGCCGGATATCCGGCCTAAATTTACTATCCGGCCGGATACCGGATAGTAACTCACTATCCGGCCGGATACCGGATATTAAAAAACTACGACAATTTCTTATAATAAAATGAAATACATTCATCTTTGAGGTAAATATCAATAAAAAGGCTTATAATAATAACGGCTTATAATTAAAGTCCAAAAAGATACAAAAAAAGCCATATTGAGGCCTTTCAAAAAACTTTTCTTTTTCAGGGCTATTCACTCTAATGACGAATCTATACTTCTATACTTAATATTATAAATGCGAAAGTAATTCTGTCTGTCTGTCTGTCTTGCTTTCACACCTAAACCACTGAACCGACTTTGTTGAAATTTGGCATAGAGATAGTTTGAGTCCCTGGAAAGGAGATAGGATAGTTATTATCCCGGTTTTTGAAACAGGGACACGCGCGATAAAGTTTTTCTGTGACAGACAAAATTCCACGCGGGCGAAGCCGCGGGCGGAAAGCTAGTACTAAATAAATAAATATCTGTTAATGTCGAAATATAGCCAATTAAATTAGGCGATCTTTTTTTCACTGATGGTCTGATGACATGATGCAGTTCAGTCAGATTACGCAGCAAGTAAACTAATTTAAATTTTCCCTATTCAACCACACACTCACGATGGCAACCGAAATCGCTCGAATTGATCTGCCCCCTAGACAAGTGGCAAAATCTGACATTCTATTCGGACAGATACGGATTTGATTTTCGAAAAGTGTAACTTGTCTACTAGACCCACTGATCGCGTTCGAAGCACCTGGTGGCGCTAAACTCGTCATGACATACGAGACAATGGGCCAACTATCCGGCCGCCGGATATCCGGCTATCCGGCCTAGCAGCTCGCCGGATATCCGGTATCCGGTATCCGGCCAAACCACTATCCGTTTCATCTCTAGTTGAGAGTTGAGACTCATGGGTGAACACTAGACAATACAAAATACTATTCGTGTGAATTGGTAGCCGGTACTAATTATTTGTCGGCCGTTTGGTGTAGTGGTACAGAACGGACTACTATGCTGAAAGGTCCCGGGTTCGATTCCCGGCCGGGGAGAAATTGAAATGATGAATTTTAATTTCTGTGACGGGTCTGGGTGTTACTATGTATAATATGTATGTATTTAAAAAGTATGCTATAAGTAGTATATCGGTCAAGCTAGCACCCATAACACAAGCATTTAAGTTGCTACTTTGGGGATAACTGCCGCGCGCTGTGTGAAATTGTCAAAAGATTTATTATTATTTTATTTTCAGTATCATTGTAATTATTACCTACTCATTACCTAAAAAAATTTAAGTACTGTTGTAAGTGTATTGTCGATGATATTGAATACACATTTTTTCTTTCTTTCTTTCTATTTATTTTATTTAATAAGTGAGAAAAAAACCTCTATTTGTAATACCTGTTTTAGGGTTATCATGGACATATACAACACGATGCAAGGGCTGTTTATATTCCTGGTGCTGGTGGTGTTCCGGCGGCGCGTGGTCAAAGCGCTGTACAAGCGCGGCTGGCTGGACTGCGCCGCCGGGCCCCTGGAGCGCTGGCTGGCCGTCGGCGACGACGACGAGCAGGACGTCATCGAGCACACCAAGGACGTGCCTCTGGAAGACAAGTGCCTCTCGTAGGCGAGGGACAACCCAACACGTCTCTGTGAACCATAGAGGCTCTCTCTTCAAGTGGCGCAACTCCGATTGGTTAAGAATGTGTTTTAAAACATTGGTCAAATGTGTGTCGTGCCACGCGCAGTGTAGGGTTCCGTAGTTGTCCTTCGTTACCACAATATACTTCAGAAGCAAGCAATTACTTCGTCTAAAGTCACGTTTAATATTTTCTTTTAAGGAATTTTTATTACGAGTAGGTATGAAATTTTATAATACTTACATGAGTAAAACGACTATTACTCTTAAACTAACTGATCTATTTTAACCGCTATAGTTTTCCTTGAAAGTTTATAAAAAGTACTATTATCATGATTTTTTTCAGATTTTTCAAGCCAACAGTTTAGTTTTTAGAGGGGGGGACTACGGAACCCTAAAAATGATGTCGTCGTAAGCTGTAATACTTTAAAGCTGGGACACAAAACGTAACAGAATTTGTGTAGGCCAGGGTTTCTCAAAGTGGGGTAGGTACGCGAACCCCTAAGGGGTTTGACTTTGACATATACTCCATTTGCGACAAGAAACAAGCACACCATCAGCAACAGCATCAATAGGTATTAAAAAGACATATTTCTTTGGCACTTTATTTGGTACCTTTTATTGAAATGAAAACATTTTTTTCTTCAATAGTCACTTTTATATTATTTTCTTTGGGGGGTGCAGGTTTTAGAGTTATTAAGAGGTTCGCTGTCACCTGAAACTTTCACAGGTAGGTACTCGTGGAACGGAAAGTTTGAGAAACCCTAAGTAATAGGCTATAAATAAAATCCAACAAATCACTGAATTGAGGTATTAGGAATTATAAATTCCAGTTTGATTTTTTTCTAACTTATGTGTCTTATACCTAGTTACTTTTACAATAGGTAACGAATTGGTCGTTTTAACTTCGTTATATAAAACAATCAACTAAGTCATTTTTTGTTAATTTAAGTCAATAAATCTACTTAATTAAGTTTTGTCATATCGTATAGTTAGTTACCTACAACTTACATATACCTACGTATTTTATTGCTTTTTAACGTTGTTTACTTGTTTGTTTAAGAGATATTTCATTTGTTATTCAACATCAATAATTAAACCTACTTAGGTACATTATGGCTGAGTTGCACCACCTAACTTTGACCGTAACTATAACGATAACCGGTGTTTTTTGTATGGTGTTTGACAGATTTTTGACGTTTGTCAAAGTTAAAGTAATATGGTGCAACCCAGCCAGTCTTGTTAAACTTATCAATTTTACTAGACCTACCTAAGTAGGTAGGTACCTACTTTAGATAGTGTACATAATATGTATAAACAAACTCAAAGTCAAACTAAGCAAAGGTAAATGTATTTTATCATTTGTTTGTGAATGGACGGAATGAGATTGAGTAAGTTCATTGTTATCAAACTTATTGAAAGTAATAAGATCTCATTAGGAATGAAATTTTAATGAGAATAAATACTTACCCACTGAGTCAATTAATATTAATATTTTATTTATGTTTATTAAAATATTTTTGTATAATTGTTTTTTCTGAAGCTAAGTAGGATGTGATGAATTATGATGATTGATTGATTGATGATTATGATAAGTATTATACCTAATGAGAAATGTTTACCATTCATATTTTGTAACACGAAGAAAAACTGGTATTGTACCTACCAGTAATTAAATAAAAAATAAAAAGGAAACATTCGTTGTTTATTTACAAACGTGTTTTTACAATAAAATAATAATAATAAGTGCCTATACCTCACATAATAAATTTTTAAAATAGAAAACTGTACGTACATAAAATCCGTTGCGCATTTTAAAAAAAGGGGTGACTTTGTTTTATACTATGTCACAACATTGCACATTTATGCATGTCGTCTGACCGTATTATTGGTATTATTTTATGAGTCAAACCAAAAGGAAGGAAGCCAAACCAATTAAATGTTATTAAACCTTATTTAATAGAAACGCAATTTGTTGCGTCTGTCATGACATGACGCTCATACATAGTACATGAGTTTAACATATTATTATCACTCTGAACAGCGAACCCGGCGAACTTCGTACCTACAGGCCTATTCAGAAATAATGTAGGAAACAAGCCATCATTAGCTCAAAGTGTTCTAAACTGAAAGTCATGAATGCGACTCAAATCAGCACGAATAAAATAACTTGATTGAATGAAATGCGAAACTAAAACATAATTATGCATTAAGTTACTAAGTAATAAGTATCTGGTCAAATTCTGTTCTAAAACCCTCAAGAGCGTTGAAGACTGTGTCAAGTAGGTATTCAGATACTTAGATTACCTTGATCTATTTATTGAAAGCATAAAAATATTAACGTGTTTTGGGTGAAATTTTATTTCTGGCGGTAGCTAATAGTGCGTCGTAAATAGTTATAGCGAATTTTATAGTCCTCTTAAAAGCAGCTTTTGATTCTAGGAATTTGTTTGTTGATACAATTCCGATGCGGGCATTGAAAGCTGCGGTACAGAAATAGAGCTAAGTACCGCGATTGTAGGTGGTACAATAATTTGAGGTAAACCAGAGCTGGCATTGTGCGTGAAAGTGGTTTTCAAAATCGTAATCCCAGTAAAATAGTTACTATAGTTTTCAGCTTCAGCGTGATAGTCTATGTAGGTACCTACTAGCGTTTACAGTTTTTATTTGACGGTAGATCCTGGCTGCTACACAGGAGTTGCAGCCGTGGGAACGAGAGCTGGGAATTGTCTCTTAAACTATTATTAGGGTTATGTCTTTTTAGGAGTCACGAGGAGTTGTTTTGAAAGACTAAGTTTAAGTAGGTACTCAACTCTAAATTTTGTAGGCTTTCAAAGATAACAATTTAAATTTAATTCTAGTTAAACACAAAAAGAGGTGGATCTGTAAAGAAGGTTGAAAATTACGAGAAATATTGACACGAATGCATGTTGTTTTCTGTAAGTCCTTATCTTCATCACTTAGGTGACATTGCGAATGCAAATTCAATGATAATGGAAATTGCAATTTGCATTCGTAGCTTCTAAATAATGGGCTGAGAGCGTGCAAGCTCGTAAATCAATTGAGACCGGTAAGATAATTAGTAATCTTGGAACGTCAAAATAAATTGATAAAGTTCCAAAATACTNACTGTATATCTGCGCAATATCACTATTCTTGTTCTTACATTAGTGTTTTTATTGAGACGTGAGATGGATTGTAAATTACAAATTAGCGTTTCAATAATACACTCGCGAGCAAAACTATGGAATCACTTACATGAAGTTGTTTCCACGCGATCTTGTGTACTAACGAATGTTAGTAACAAAAAAAGTGGCACCATTTTAAAGATTAAACTTTTACCTTTAAATTGATACCAAATTCATTTAAATCACACCGGTATTTAAAAAGATATCCCGGCTGATGTGAAGAAGTAAGAAAAAAGACATGTATCAACTGTTTGATACGTCGCGAGTTGCGGCCTACTTACCCCCTATAAAAACACCTGTTTTCGGATTTTTGCTTTCACACGTTGATCCATACACATCTCCGCTTTTTTTGACACTTTACCTGGGATTCTACACCTACAGAAGCAGCACAAATCGTTGCACTATTGCAAGAAGGGCTCAGCCAGCGGGCTGTCGCACGTCAGCTCCAAATAAGCCAGTCCTGGGTTTCGAAAGTTTTAAGACGCTTTCGGGAGACTGGTGGCTTTATCCCGAGACCAAGTTCTGAACAGCGCCGGTGCATATCGCAGAGGGATGACCGTTTTTTCATGTCAACCTCTCTATGAAATCATCATTTGAGTGGTATCGACGTCCAGCAAGAGCTCAGAAATGTTCGTAGGATAGCTGTTAGCGTGTGGACAGATCGTCTAAGATATAAGCAATAGAATTTGACTCCAAAAAGGCCTGCCACAGGCTCGAAACTGACGGCAGGTCACCGACGAGCACGCTTTCAATTAACTCGCACTTATTTTGATGGGTAGGCGAGTACTGGAGGCGAGTTTTGTTCTCCGATGAATGCAGACTGTGTTTGCAGTGCAGCAGTTGAAGAGGTCGGGTCTATAGGCAGCCTAGGGAGCGATTTGTGCAGTGCTGGTTCGCTGAAACAGTGGCTTATGGGGGTGGCTTGCTCGACTTCCCATCGAGATGTGTACGAGCAAATTGAAAGCGTGCTTATCGGTGACCTGCCGTCAGTTTCGAGCCTGTGGCAGGCCTTTTTGGAGTCAAATTCTATTGCTTATATCTTAGACGAACTGTCCACACGCTAACAGCTATCCTACGAACATTTCTGAGCTCTTGCTGGACGTCGATACCACTCAAATGATGATTTCATAGAGAGGTTGACATGAAAAAACGGTCATCCTTCTGCGATGTGCACTGGCACTGTTCAGAACTTGGTCTCGGGATAAAGCCACTAGTCTCCCGAAAGCGTCTTAAAACTTTCGAAACCCAGGACTGGCTTATGTGGAGCTGACATGCGACAGCCCGCTGGCTGAGCCCTGCTTGCAATAGTGCAAGGATTTGTGCTGCTTCTGAAGGTGTAGAACCCCAGGTAAAGTGTCAAAAGAAGCTGAGATGTGTATGGATCAACGTGTGAAAGCAAAAATCCGAAAACACGTGCTTTTATAGGGGGTAAATGGGCCGCAACTCGCGACGTATCAAACAGTTGATACATGTCTTTTTCCTTACTTCTTCATATCAGCCGCGATATCTTTTTAAATACTGGTGTGATTTAAATGAATTTGGTATCAATTTAAAGGTAAAAGTTTAATCTTTAAAGTGGTGCCACTTTTTTTGTTACTAACAAATTCGTTAGTACACAAGATCGCGTGGAAACAACTTCATGTAAGTGATTCCATAGTTTTGCTCGCGAGTGTAGGTAGGTACACTAAGATGCTTTGATACCTAATATACCTACCTAATGATCAGTATTGTGTTGAACGCAAATAACTCAATTATGTACGAGTAAATTAATAAATACATTAATAATATCTAAATATGTAGCAGTCAAGAACTGCAAATTTTCAAAGCAAGATTAAGCTGGTATCTTTTAAAAATTATCATGAAAGTTCGGCGTTTTGCAAGAAAAGTCTACTCAAAACCCTACCTACGAGTACTTTCAGAACGCGCATGGTGTAAGCTCTGAGGTTTCTCTATTTGATATTTTGAAACCTCGTTCTTTTTAAGACTTGAATGAATAAATAATATATTACTTAATATTAATATTCTTGGGAAATATAACTAGGTACACTGCGAAAATAGTTGCAATTGACTGCTATTTGCCTCAATTAACGTTTTCGCTTCTGGAGTTCTGCCTATTCGCCGAAAGGTGAAATTAGATGAATTGGGCGAGTCTCGTTTGAAATATGTTTACTAGGTATATCAGTCTATTCTGGTACAGAAGTCAATAAACAGTAACGTGCAAATTTTCGCTGGAAATAACCCATCAATTTAGATCACTTAAGACGCATTGGGAAAAACCATATGAACGTAATGCAATCATCTTTTTACTGGCCAGATCTTCAGTTTCTATAATTATATTGGCATCGCTGTATCAAATAACGTTTTGGCAGCTTCTAAAAAGTATTTTTTAAGAGTATTCCCGTTAACCCCTTGTGGTAAACTAGCTAAGTGCTTGTTACTAGTGGGTTCATAAAACCAAAATCGTCCTGACGCTGATTAATCGAAATTAATCGGATCTCAAGTTGGCCAGTCGGACACCAATGGCACGAATGGTGAACCATTGGGTTATTGTCGCCTCATTACCAATGAAACTGGCCCTAAGCCTTACATAAATCATTATTAAAACCATGAATAAACAGTAAAATCTTTATTGCATTATAAATATAGCAGCATAATTGCGATTATAATATAATATACATTTTGGTCCCCAATTTAAAGCTTCGTTCAACAATAACAAAATCCATCGACTAAAATACGATTAAAAAAAAGAAATAGATTCTTGGAGTATTTTAGACATGTTAAAACTGCATGGTAATAAATGGACATCGATTTGCACTTTATCAATTTTACCTGATATAAAGAATTGTTCCAAAACAAGAGTTTTTCTTATAGTTATTGCTGATCGACTTAATTTGATTTATTTAGAACAGTCCCTCGATCTCTCCAGTGGTGGTGTTCAGATCTATATCGTAGATGCTAGGCCGAGTGGGCAGGCCGGGCATTTTCGTGATTTCGCCCACCATTGGGACCACGAACCGTGCGCCCACGGATACAAAGATCCCGTTGACCTTGAGCGGGAAGCCCACGGGTGCTCCTTTGATGGCCGGGTCGCCGGTCAAAGAGTTGGACGTCT